CAATCGAGTCAATAGATTACAAATTACAAATCTCGACAGATCGATATAGAGTGGCTTGGTTAATTTTCTTTCATACTCGTTCCGTTATTTTTGCTCGATTGTATGAGAATGCATATTTGCATGTGTATTAGCATCTATATGCAATACCGTTCCTAAATCAGACTTATCAAAGATTAAATCTCCTGTTCTGATCCTTAAGACCTAATAATTCAAGGGAAAATCCTTGCTTGAGACTGTTTAAGTCCGTAGATAAGTATTGTTGGGATAATGAAATATGAGTTTTTTTAAGCATGATAATCAAATTACGAAACTATTGGTCCTAATCTTTCGGTCAAGGGTCATTAACGTTTAACCCTTCAAGGAAAAGCAAGACTGGGGTTGCGCAATCTGACATCTCTGGTTAGTAATGTAATATTTTGGGTGAATTTGAGTGAAACTAGAAACATCATTGAGCAGACAAATTGAGTCGCCTTCTTTTTGGAGGTGGCTCAACACCCTCTCTCTCTTTCAATCTATCAATCAAGCATAAGTAATTCTTACTCAACTTTCTAACATTCAATGTATTTGCTCATCTGGTGAGATCGAAAAATGAATCTCTTCTTCATGTACTTTCATTCGGAATTAAGGTCCCCCAAACAATGTTATCTCAGGAGATTCATCGATACTAAGTTTCTCATCGTATCTACGGTAGTTCCTAAACATATTAAAAATAAATATAAATATTAGCCTTTCTGAATGTATTGCTACGATTTTACTCGTGATGAACTAAATTATGAGTTTTGATCGAGTCTTTGACAACTCACCATACGGATAAGGTTGTCATTCATTTTATTTTCGCAAAAAAGGATGGGACCAAAATTCTCATGGACCAACTCTGCCCGAACCCCAGCTTTAGGTGCTTTCTCAACTCCTCCCTTATGATGTCGATTTATACCACGGGCTCCACGGCTTTGTCCGACCTCGGAAGACTGGTGACAAAAATCCTAACCACGAGTCCATTAAATTCTTACGTTTTTTATTGCGTGTCAGGGCCGAAATACGAAGAATTTCGGTAAATACGGATCTGCGCATCTACCGACATTTCACATAAGCAAGAATATCTGTACTTCCATAATGAGTATGTTCATGTTTGTGCGTACTTATGAATGGAAAATAAAACGTTTGCTTTACTTGTCACTTTATTTTCGTGTAACTTCAAAATGGCATATGATACAGTCTACCAAATGCATTGATGGTCACCTGATTTGTGTTGTCAGGTGAGATGAAGATTGGAATTGCAGTTTACTCGAAGTATTTCAGGCGGATGGACGAAGGTGCCCGGCCTATAAAACGCTTTCTTTTTGGTTGTCGGCTTTATCAGACTGGATTTGGATGAAACGAACAGACGATAATCCAAACAGCAGGTAATACAGCAACTAGAGCCATGCCACTGCTGGGAGACGGATGGAGTTGTCGAGGAACCGTCTTCTGCATTCTTATGCTGAACGCCATTCTATGCCCTTTAGGCGAGGCTGGAGTGACAATATCGCATCCTTCAGCTCGTAAGCCAAATCATGCCTTGCCCACCATTCCAGTCTCTGCTACTACGGCTGCTGTCTCGAACCGCAGCAGTTCTGCCAGTCTCCAGCCTCAAGTCAGAGCCCCGTCTGCATCTGGCACGGCTAGCAACAGTCAGCTACGCCGGTTTCAGCGTCAGGCGATCATGGGCCTCAGCGACCCTACCAACCAGATACGCAGCCAGCATGTCCTACGCGGTGAGAGGGCATCACATGGCAACCCCTGTTGCCGTCGTCTTCGAAGTCGGCCAACGCGAGTGCATGTACGCATTCTGATGGGCCTGCAATTTCACTCGGCGTCTTTGCGCTTTTCCCCACGCCTCAAGGGTTCGGCAGCATCAAGAGAGCAAGTGTATAAGCTGATTAAGAGAAAAGCTACCGAAGATTCCGTTTTACTCGAATCCCATGTTGGAGCTATCAAATTCCTGCCATATTTTACCCTTTTGGCCGCGTGTATTTACAGTTCAAAGATATTATAAATAAATTTT